GCTCTGAACGTTGCCCTGGCCTCTGCCAGCCTCACCGTCTCTGTTATACTCAGGCCCATTGTTAAGAGTCTCTATGTCAGTCCATCTTGTCAGGGGTCTTCCTCTCTTTCTCTGACTTTTGCACACCTTTCCAAGGACTGGCCTTTCCTGACTATGTGCCCCAAATATGCGAGACAGACATTCTACATGAGCCCAAGTCAGTGTTCTGGAAAACCCATTCTTTGTAATATTATCCATCATTTAAAAATTTTTTTATTTTATATTGGTTTGCAGACAAAATTCATATACATTGTGTGCTTCACGCTTTCCTTCATTTACATTGTATTTCATACAATCATTCGCATACATTGTGTGTTATCAGGTTAATCCCCATTGAATTATGCCCGCCATTGATTGTTTGGCTCCACAGGGTTGAATGTCTTTGTCCAGTCAGTACAACACAGGTTGGCAGCTGCCTTGTATCCTTGCATTTAACCAATGCCCATCTAGCATCAGCAGTGACATCCCTTACTCCCTGTCTTCTTCAGAATCTGGCTTGGATTTCCAGCAGTCCCACGTTGGCATATTGCTGGTAACTGTTTTTGAACTATCTTTGGCAAAATTTTACTTGAGTATGATATGGTGACTGGGGTATTGAGAGTAGGTGTGTCAGAGACAGTCAGGTTGGCACAGGGCTGTTGCTGTGAGTCGCAAGAGACTCGATGGCACATAACAACAACAACAACAACAACAACAACGATATTAAAGCAGTCCTTTAATAATTTCCACATTCTCTTGGATGACTCACCTTGGATTGGGCATAAGTAGGAATCTCTCTCCGTTGGTTGTTCAGGAAGCTATCTTCCACATTTTTGGTGTGCAGCTGAGGGAACACATCCAGTGTTGCACCCATTTGTTCAGACATCACAGTGAATATTTTCTGTTGATTCCTGGAACCTTGTTTTATCTTGCCAAGACCTTCAGTGTAAACTGGACTTCTTAGTACTGACAGTTCTCGATCAGGTGCTACCTCCTGAAATGGTTGAACATGGACCAGTTCTTTTTGGTAGAAGTGACCTTTTTGTATTTATTCCGCCCTTTGATAACTTCCCACGCAATGCAGTATTTTGTTGATCGATTCCTTTGGTTTTGCTACTTGAGGCTTGACTTCTTTTCCTTTATTTTTTTCAGCTGAGAAAAATACCAAACAGGGGCTTCTTGGTGGATGTTCCAACTCCAGACTTGGAGCAAAAGCCCAAACACATTAGGTAGATCTCCAAAGAATACTGGCCCACAGGTGTTGACAAGGGGGTCAGGGACCTTCCTCCGGAAGCAGCACTCGGCCTTCCCCTCAAGCAGAGACACCGGTCTTCCACCCTTCTACGTGGAGAGAGTACATTCTTGTTGAGACCATCCACTTCAGTGTTTCTGTTATAGCAGCAATAGCTAGTAGCCAAGGCTGCGTTTAGTACTTGGAGTGGGCTGCAGCTCAGATACCTATAATACGGAAGTAGTGTTGGAATTAGGTGATGATCAGAGGTTGGAAGAGTGTCAAGGTGCCTTGAAACAGGACATCACGCTCGGACAGGCAGAGGATGGGTCAAGGAGCCAGAAGGCCCTCAGTGAGATGGCTCAACACCGAGACTGTAACAGTGGACAGAGATGAAGAGGATGGCACAGGGAGGGCAGGATTCAGATCTGTTGTTCGTAGTGGTTGCTGTGGGTCATGCTCTCCTTGACGAGACCTAACACCCACCACATAAGTAAGGATGACAGAAGAAGAATCGATACCTTGAAGCTGGGGTGGTGGTGAAGAGTGCTGAATATCCCGGCAAGCTCTGGTGGCCTAGTGGCAAGAAGGTGCACTGCAGTCCCAGAGGTGGGCGGTTCAAATCCACCACATGATTTGCTGGAGAAGGAGGAACAATCTCCTCCTGTACCAGTCAGATCTGATTTGACGGCACGCGCGCGCACACACACACACACACACACACACACACACACACACAAATAATAATGTTTAAAAAAAAGAGTACTGACTATCCCGTGGGCAACAAAAGAACAAACAAGAAACCATAACTGCCACCCAAGCAGATATATGCACACCCATGCTTCTCGCGGCTCTGTTCGCAATAGTAAGGAGTTGGAAACAACCCAAGTGCCCATCAGCAAAAGAATGGATAGAGAAGCTCTGGTATATTCACACAATGGAATACTACACTGCACTGAAAAACAGAAACTCGTGAAATATTATGCAAAATGGGTGACCCTGGAGGACATTATGCTGAGTGAAATCTCAGCACAAAAGGACAAATATTGCATAGGGCCACTGTTGTAAAACAGGACTGACATCAGGGTTGAGGGAAGGCAGAAAAAAGGGAAGGACTGATATCTATTGCATTGAAACAGATGAGGGAGAGAACTGTTTAAAAGGGACATATGAGTATTCTTGTCATTACAGAAGTCCAGAGTGAAGACTGCACAGTGGAGTGAACTTGGGCGGGGAGGAATTACATAACAATGAAAGGGTTTTTCTTTTTCTTTTCAAGGAGAAGAGTGAATTAGGGAGGAGGAAGTGGGCAGGGAGAAAAGTGCAACAATGAATGATTGGAAACCCTAAGTCTCTGTAAACTTTCATTAAAATTATTTTTTTTAAGAAAAAAAACGAAACCCCACTGATAATAGAATACATTATAATAATTTTTTTTTAAGAAAAAAAGAACAAACAGTTCTGTCATAGAGCAGGTATGACCGGGGTGCTTTTTAGAGGTAAAGATGCTGAGATTTCATCTCATATACTTCGGGTATGTTGTCAGGACGGGCTGGTCCTTTAGAAAAAGACATCATATCGTTAAAGGTGGAGGGTCAGGGAAAGAAAGGTAGACCTTCAGCAAATGACCGTGACAGTGGACTTGAGCATGTGAGAGATGGTGGGGACGGCACAGGATAGGGCAAGGTTCACATCTCTTGTTCAGAGGATTGTTAGGAGTCACTGTTAACCTGCTGGCACATACAACAAGGGTAACTTGTCTTAAAGGGACTGTTGGTGCGACTGTGGATGTCTGAGGGGGCTCCGATCGGGAGGGCTGTAACACCATAGAGGGCACAAGTGGTGAGGAATGATGTGGCAACAGAACCAGGAGACCAGCGTCGGCGCTGATCCCCGGAGGGAGAGAGCTCAGTGCCTTCAGGCCTGGGCTCCCCGGCTGAGCAGGGCTCCAGCGAGCACTTCCTGGAAGAGCTGAAGAATGTGGCCACACTTGGCAGGGCAGAGCAGGGGCCAGCCCAGCCCAAGAGACCCAAGAGGTCCAGAGGCCGAGGACGTGGGAAATGAAGAGACAGGGAACCCAGGAAGCAGAGCTGCCACAGTCTCAGAGGGTTGGCTCGTGGCCTCCGAGGTGCGAGTCCAGAGAATGGGGCTGCGGTGGATGAGCGCCAAGGCGATGGCGCTGGATCTTCTGCCCAAAGCTCAGGAAAAAAACAAGGTCGAAGGCGGTGAGGTCACCCCTGTTGGACTAGGAGAATGGGGCTGCCCAGAGTCCCTGGAGGGTGGAGCTGAACCCCAGAGCCAATGGGCATCCATGCAGATAAACACACAGGCTGTGGAGGGCAGAGCCGTTACGCAGATGGTCTCAGAGAAGTTGTCCCGTTACATTTGGGACTTGCTTATTGCTTGTAAATTGTCCCGTTTGCAGTGGGAATGTCTACTTCCTGCCTGGCTCCACCAGTGCAGAAGTTACAGCTAAGAAAACTGCACATGGCAGTTCTTTTCCTTAACCCATCAGTCAGAATCGGCTCCGTGGTGACAGGTTGGTGTTTATGCCTCCCCACCCCCCTTTTGAGATGAAGCAGTATAATAGAATGGCTAGACACAGACCTGGAAGTCGAGTCTGCATCTCTGGCCTGGCGTGTGAGGGCTTGAGTGCGTTTATGCCCTCGCCAGGCCTCAGTTTCATCATCTGTAAAAATGGAGATAATAACACCTCCTGAGTGGCAAGAAGCTTCATTCACTGCAGTCCCGAAGGCACACGGTTTGAGGCCACCAAATGCTCTGCGGGAGAAGGATGGTCACCTTCCTCCTCTGCCGTTAAAACCCTCCAGAGGGTCAGCTGTGGGTCGGTTCCGACTCTACAGTAAACAACAAAGGAGGACTGAAAGCAGGAATTGTTAAGGCCCCGTGAGGTCAGCCCCGACTCACAGTAGCAGCTTCCTTTTGCACAGAATGGACCACTGTCCCGTCCATCATCTTCATGTTCCCTTGTTGTGGCCTCTGGCCAGTGCATCTGATTGAGGGTCTTCCTCTTATCTTGCTGACCCTCCAGTCAAATCTTTTCTAACTGTATCATGGTATCACTTGCTGGTCCAGTCGTGAGGAGTTCCATTCTCTCTCTATTCAGCTGGAATCTACACTGCAGGGAGCTTGGGGCTCTGGTGGTGGCGTCTGTAGAGAGCCGTGTGGCCAACACAGAAGGCGGTGCCTCTCTGGTGGTTCGAATCCACCGGCTGCTGCTTGGGAGAAAGAGAAGCAGTCTTTTCCCATGCAGGATTTCTCTCTTGTTTTTTTTTTTGAGAGTTCTTTTTTAAATACACATTGAACGTCATCTGTAAAAGCAGAGGGGACTGCTGTCATTATGAAACAGTACTTTAGTGCTCATGAAGCCACACTGGTCTTTTGGGAAAGAGCAGTAGTGGTCACATGGGCGCGAATCCCTGAGGCTAAGAAGGGCGGTTCTCTGCCAATAAGGACCCTCGACAGCCTCGGGGACTTGACCTTGCATTGAAGATATTTCCGGGTGTCGCATTGATGTTGTATCTCTTGTTCCATTCCAGGTTTGGACTTCCGAGGTCAGTGCAGAGTAGCCAGCATCACAGGCTGAGGGGACCCACGCTGGCGATTGCAACTCACCTGCGTTGACTTTGGCCTGGGGGCCCCGGACAAGCTCATCGCTCCCCCATGCCACCCCTGATGGGACGTGAGGAACAGTGGCGGCCATGCCTCCCCAAGGCCCGTGCTGACCTGCATGGTGTGGGCACCACATGGACCCTCTGGGACTGACTGACCGCCCTTGCCTCGCACCCCCGCACAAGGACAGCATCCCCCCAAGATGTCACTGGAATGGCTGGCGGCCTGGAGCTGGTCGCTGGACGGCCTGAGGGACTGCATTGCCACCGGCATCCAGTCCGTGCGGGACTGGGACACCACCGCTGTGGTGACCGTGGCCTGCCTGCTGGTCCTGTTCGTGTGGTACTGCTACCACGTGGGCCGGGAGCAGCCGCGGCCCTACGCCTCGGTCAACTCCCTGATGCAGGGCGTCGATGCCAACGGGCTGCAGAACGGGTTCATGTACTGCCAGTCTCCCGAGTGCGTGCGCTGCGTGCACAACGACGGCCTCAACCAGAAGCTGTACCACAACCTGCAGGAGTACGCCAAGCGCTACTCATGGTCCGGCATGGGCCGGATCCACAAGGGCATCCGCGAGCAGGGCCGCTACCTCAGCAGCCGGCCCTCCATCCAGAAGCCCGAGGTCTTCTTCCTGCCCGACCTGCCCACCACACCCTACTTCTCCCGCGATGCCCAGAAGCACGACGTGGAGCTGCTGGAGCGTAACTTCCAGACCGTGCTGTGCGAGTTCGAGACCCTCTACAAAGCCTTCTCGAACTGCAGCCTGCCGCAGGGGTGGAAAATGAACAGCACGCCCAGCGGGGAGTGGTTCACCTTCTACCTGGTCAACCAGGGGGTTTGCGTGCCCCGGAACTGCAGGAAGTGCCCACGGACGTACCGCTTGCTGGGAAGCCTTCGGACCTGTATTGGGAACAATGTTTTTGGGAACGCGTGCATCTCCGTGCTGAGCCCCGGGACCGTGATCACGGAGCACTACGGGCCCACCAACATCCGCATTCGGTGCCACTTAGGTAGGTTTGCAGGTTTTCCGATCGATGGGGGCATCCGCCGTCACCACCACAGCAGGGCCGCCGCGGGGCCATCACACCAGGCTTTTATTCTGTCGAGGATGCGAGAAGCAGAGAGTGAGGTGTGCAGTAAATTGTTCGCAGTGTGAACCCATTTTAATTTCTAATAAAGGAGCTCGGGCGGCCTAGGGGTAAGGAAGTTCACTGCCACCCCAGAGGCAGGCAGTTCGAATCCACCAGCTGCTCCATGGGAGAAGGAGGGATGCGCAGTCTCTTTCTCACCCACTTGAGGGTCCACTGTGAGTCAGTTCCGGCTTGTTGAGTTGGTGGCTTAGTGGATCGGAAGTTACACCATCAACCTAAAGGCGGGCAGTTCAAAGCCACCAGCTGCTTCATATGAAAAAGACGGACAGTCTTCTTTTGTGTGATTTGTTGTTGTTAGGTGCCGTCGAGTCGCCTGTGACTCATAGCGACCCTATGTACAATAGCCCTGAAACCTGCTCTATCCTGAGCCAACCTTATTGTCTCTGATACACCTACCCCCATTACCCCAGTCACTGGATCAATCCATCTCATTGAGGATCTTCCTCTCTTATGTTGTCCCTTTACGCTCTCAAGCATGATGTCCCTTTCCAAGGACTGGTCCCGCCTTGCAACATACCCAAAGTATGTCAGAAGAAGCTTCAGAATCCTTGCCTCCAAGGAGCAGCCTGGTTTAACCTTCTCAAGGATGAATCTGTTCATTTTCTTAGCAGTCCATGGTATATTTAATACTCTTCTCCAGTACCACAGCATCACTTCTCCTCCCTCTGTCATCCCTAGTCATAGTCCAGCTCTCTGATGCATAGCAACGTGTGATTTACAGCCTCTGAAAACCCACTGGAGGGTCAGCTGTGCGTTGGTTCTGACTCAGAGGTGATGAGTTGAATTGGTGACCGAGTGGGGAAGGAGTTGTGTTATCAACCCAAAGGCAAGCAGTTTGAATCCACCAGCTGCTTTGTAAGAGAAAGCTGGGCAGTCTCCTCCTGTGCAATTTAGTCTCTGAAAACCCATGGGAGGGTCAGCTGAGAGTCCGTTCTGACTTGACCACACATAACGGCAGTTTCCGGTAAGAATCCTGGGGTGGTTACAAACCATTATGTGCTTGGCTGCTAAGTATAAAAGTCAGAGGTTTGAGTCCACCCAAAGGTGCCTCAGAAGAGAGGGCTGGTGTTCTGCTTCCAAAAGAGCAGCCGTCAAAACCCCCTGTGGAGCACTGTCCTACCCTGACGTAAGTAGGATACCCAGGAGTCAGAGCTGAGTGAAGGCAGCTGGTGCTTTAGTTTGTAGCAGAAACTGTATCCACAGGACGGGCGAAATGTATCTGTGATGGCGAAATGTTCTCTCTCTGTATTACCTGCTCTGCGACACTGCGACGTCCGGGGCTGGTAAATGCTTTGTGTGTAGCAAGGACAAGCAAAGCACTGGATTTTTATTTTATTTTTCATTTATTTTTTTCACTCGTGTGAAGGGTTACAAGCCATGATTTCATGCAGTGATGCGTAGATACTTTGTTTCCTTGTGTTATTTGTTCCCGTTGCTCCATCAGGTCACAGCTGCCCCTCCAGCGGGTGCTCACAGGCTGTAATTCATGTGAGAGGAGATTGGCGTCTGACCCTCGCGGAGCAGCTGGTAGATTCGAACTCTTTGCCTTTGGGATGGTGGTGCAGCTTTTTATCCACTAAACTGCCAGAGCCTCCAATAGCATGGATTAATATCACTGATCAATTCCGGTGGCTAATCAACTCTTTTTATTGTGTGTGTGGCCTTTCCATTCACCCAGCACGCTTGTTGTTGTTGTTATGTGCCGTCGAGTTGCTTGCAACTCATAGGGAGCCTATGTACAACAGCCCTAAACTCTGCTCTGTCCTGTGCCAATCACACTGTCTGACACTCCCATCCCAATTATCCCAGTCACTGAATCAATCCACCTCATAGAGGGTCTTCCCCTCCTGAGCTGTCCCTCCACCCTCCCAAGCATGATGTCCCTCTCCAAGGACCGGTTTCTCCTCACAACTGTCCAAAATATGTCAGACGGAGCCTCAGAATCCTTGCCTCCAAGGAGCAGCCTGGTTTAACCCTCTCTAGGATGAATCTGTTTGTTTTCCTAGCAGTCCATGGTATTCTCAATACTCTTCTCCAGCACCACAGCTCAAAGGCATCAATTCTCCTTCTATCCTCCTTAGTCACTGTCCAACTCTCTGATGCATAACAAGTGATAGCGAAGACCATGGCCTGTATCAGATGCACCTTAGTCTCCAGCACGCTTATCTTTTTTTTTTTTTTTTTTTTTTTGTGCATGTACCGTCAAATCAGATCTGACTGGTACAGGAGGAAATTGTCTCTCCTTCTCCGGCAGAGCATCTGGTGGATTTGAACTGTGCAGCACACTTATCTTTTAATTTTTTTCCCCCTTTTAGTTTGGTTTAAATAGTGACCCGACTGGATGGTACAACATTAGCATCAGATAGTTTGTTAATGACCGTGGACGTCCCTCTGGGTGTTCTGGAGGAAAGTCCTTGTCGCTCAGCTTCTGCTCCTGGAGCGACTTGTTCTGGCTTAATGGCTCTGCTCTGTCAGCAGATCAGGCCGGCGAACAATCATAGGGCAGGGCATATGGGTGAGGCCAGGGGTGTCATGACAGGACGGGGCTCTGGGTGGGTGCTGGGCCCTTCCTGCTGTGGCATCCAGCGGGCACAGCGGGATAATATCGCAGGTGAGGGCGATTTCTCGGCTGGCTCTGGTGCGCTGGTCCGCCACACTTGTTCCCAGCCCAGGAGCTGTGAGCAAGGCCTGGCGGGAAGTTGGAGGGTTGGGGTTTCTCCCTGAAGGAAGATGGCAGAGACAGGGTGGGAAATGCTTTCTTCCATTGCTACTGTTTGCTTGCTCTAAGCCCAAGAGCTGTGAACAAGACCTGGCCTAAGTCAAAGGGTTGGAATTTCTACCTGAATATCCCATGGACAGCCTGAGAGAACAGACAGATCTTGGAGAAAGTGCAGCCAGAGAGCTCCTTGGAGGTAAAGATGCTGAAGCTTCATCTCACATACTTTGGGCATGTTGCTAGGAGAGGTCACTCCTTGGAGAGGGACATCATGCCGGGAAAGGTGGGTGGATGGTGAAGGAGAGGAAGACTCTTAGCCAGGTGGGTCGACGCAGTGTTGGGAGATTGTGAGGATGGCACAGGATAGGACAGGGTTCTGATCTCTTCTTTGTAAGTGTTGCTATGAGTTGTACTCAACTCAGCAGCACCTGACATCAGCAACAACATTAAGGTCCCTAACTGACGTCCCAAGGGAGCTGTGCTGTGGTGGCATAGCCTGTAGGAGGACGTGCTGCTAGCTCCGAGGTGACGCCTCTAGAGCGGTTCGAATCCACCTTAGGCTCTGTAGGGGAAGCCAGCAATCTCCTCCCGTGGCCGCGTTCCCTCCGACAGTTCAACTCACCTCGCTGACCTTTCACTCTTGGGAGGCGGAGGTACAGAGCATCCTCTAATGAGACGAGAGATGTTGTGGGTCGTGTATTTACACAGCTCCTGGTGTAGAGCCTGTTTTTACAGCCATTGACTTGACCCCTTGCTTGTGACAGCTCCGTGCACAGAAAGCAGAGCTGCCCAGGCGTGCCTCATCCTCTCAGTTGGATTCACATCAGACCATTTTGATGCAGAAGGTTCTCATTGGCTGGTTTCCAGGCATTGGTTGTCAGGCCTTTCTTCCTGGTCTCCCTTTGTCGGGAAGCCTTGCTCAGGGTCATAGCAAAACACAGCAAGCAAAGCCTTGGTGTCCCTGGCTGGGGCCCCGAACCCTAGTCTCCCACTTGAAGGCAGGAATACAGAGGAGCACAGAGTGGCTGAGCTAAGAGCAGTTCTGGAAGTTGGAGGTACTGCCTTTGTTTCCGTGAGAGAGGAATTGAGAAACAGGCGTCCTGTGTATGGCCTCAAAATCATGTTCTGCAAAACAGGCTTGGGGCCGCTGGCGGCTGAACCTGAGCCAGCTGCCCTGGGCCTCCGCCTCCTGGCCCCTCCAAGCTCTGCCCCTTCTACCCTTCCATGTGGGGATTCTGAGCGAGATGCGGTTTACATAGATGGTGCTGCTGTGTGAAATAAAAAGAGTAGTTGACATGAAGGTGCTTCAGGAGTGAAGGATCTGGGGAGAGAGACAGACCTGGACTCCTGGTCAGCTGTGACTGACCCAGTGACTGAGTTGCTCTGTACCTCAGCTTGCCCATCTGTAAAATGGGAGTGTAATACTTAGCTCACAAGATTGCTAAAAGGATTGCGTAGTAAAGTCGCCTGACCAGTAGTGACTCGTCGCTGTCACAGGCAGTGACTGGGTCTGACGGTGTGATGGAGAGTCCATCACTGTGGCCTCTGTCCTGGGGAGCAGCGGAAGGGAGCAGGTTTTGGAGGCAAAGAGATCTGGAGCTGAGAGCTCGGATGCCTTTCAAGACTGGAGGGCGGGGGAGGGGGCGAGCCTGTGAGAGCAACCCAGGATGGGGCAGGAGGGGTACCCCTCTGGGGCCGGGGAGCCTTGTCCAGGGGTCTCACTGCTATAGGGGCTCAGAGAGGGCCATGCACCGAGGTGGCACCTGTGGGGTGGACACAGTGTACACAGCCTGGCATGACAGCCTCGGGGCTTGAGGCTGTGGGTGGAGGGACAGTGCTGCCTTCTTCGAGGTCCGGCTCTGTGCTTTTCATAACACTTCCCGGTGACAGAGAGAGATGGGCATTTGGGAACCGAGGTGGGAGAGTTGCAGGCAGGTGGGCCGGGTAGGTGGGGCTGCCTCCCATGTAAGGTCAGAGAGGAGAGAGAGAGAGAGATTGATTCACTCTTTTTCTTCTTTCTCATTTTTTTAAAATAACCAATTTAATAAGCTTTATTTTTCGGGACAGTTTTGGGTCGATAGAAAAAAAAATAACTGAGCAGATAGTACAAAGAGCTCCCACGTAGCGCCTCCTCAATTTTCTC